TTCAAACATATTTATGTTGATAAACTTTCTGTAATTTTTATTTTTATAAATAAGAGTTTTTTAATTTCTAACTTTTTTTTATCAATATATATTTGATTTTAAGAACTATGTATACAAAATTTAATTATATTTTTATATATATTATTAAAAACCAAGTACTAAGTGAATTTATTATACAGTATTTACATATAAACAAACACAAAAAAATTGTTTCAATTTATTTATATAATACTGTGTGTATGTATATATGTGACTTACATAATTATATATTAATGTTATATAATTTAAAGAATTTCAGGTATATTTTATGAAATTTAAATTTTTAGTAGTAATTTCATTTATACATGTAATATAATGTCACTTTTTAATTAATANCACTTTTGAGATGCCAGTGACCAAAGCTGCCTCCAGCTTCAAATCTGCATCTTCTGTTTTGATAACCAAAAAATATCACACTTGTGATAACTTTCCCTATGTCACATAAATTATCTTTTTCAACCTTCTGTTCCGGGGCATTTACAATAGGCTTGTTGATTTCATCTACCAGGAGCACTGGGTTTCTGCCCAAATATTTCTCCAGGCTCTTAATCAAGTTTTCCATATCTTCAGTCACATCATATTGATCCAGTTTCTTAAGGTCTTCATCACTGTAGCTACACCAACAACATGGTCCAAAGTTAAACTTTGTAGTTTAAAAATCTGCCAGAATTATCAGAATGTCTTTAAATCTTTATTTAAAATCACAATTAGCACAGTATAAATAAAAACAAAAACAAATTAAATAAAATAGCCATTGGCGAAGACACTTCAAGACCCAATACATTTATTATTAATTATTTTTTACCGTAACTAAGTAAAATCAATCTGAAAAATTGGCTAAAATGAAATAGGCCAACGCCAGGTTCTTTTTAAATCTTTTTGTTGTTTATAACATTATTTTTCTATTTGTGATCTACTAACATGTTTTTCTAATTACTATTCTTACAAGAAAGACATAGCAAGCATTTCTGAAAGGAATTAAAAAAAACTGAGAAACATTGCCAGTTCAATATATATAGTACTGCACAGATTTCTTCCCGGAGTCAGCACGAATTAAAAAAAGTATATATCTAAAAGCTATACTATACACTATACAATGACAATCCATTTCCTATTGTGCCTACAGAAAAACATTCTACACAAATATATTATTAACGTGACCAGTAATTTTATTAATTTACTTTATCATTATAATTAAAATAATACCACATCAGCATAGAATAAAGAAAAATTTTAAGAATAATACTTTTTAATTTATATAAACACTAATTTTATTTTAAGCATTTTTAAAACAAACTCTTAACTTCTAAATTTATTTCTAACATAATTTAATAAAACAATTCATTTAGAGAATAACAATCAAATATTTGCATTTATCTGCCTTCTTTAACTTTTATCCTATTCATGAATAAAAGTTTTTAATAAATTCCTATACTTATATATAGGATTATTATAATTATTTTATGAAATAATAAAACTCTTTTTAAAAATTTGGCTATTATAATCAGATGATGCATCAGAAAGGAGGAAACCCTACAACTTTTAAAAGGAACATGACACACATCATCAGCATTTTCCAATATTAGGGACTGTGAACATTTTATGGGATTCATTTTTCAATTAAACGATGCTTATCGAAGGTAAAACAACAACAACAACAACAAAAACCGTGAAACTACTATCGAGAAAGGGCAAGGTGACCTTCGAAAGAAAACAAACGTTTAAAGTGTCCGAGTGTAAATTAAAAAACGGGAAGGCTAAAGAGGGAGCATGCATTATATTCTCTATCAAGAAACATACCTGACGATGTTTATAAATCACGGGAGATTGTCGTTCTTTAAGATAATACAGAACGTCCGATACAGGCCGTAGTACAGTTTACATTGGCTTGCAGAGGGTATCAGACTGTCGTACATAACGTTGCGCGTCGAAATGCGGCGCAGCTACAATCGATTGGCGCGAACCAGAACACTTTTAATAACCGTAGCTACGAGATATACATTATGCAATATTCGATATTTCCATTATTTCGAATTAAATAATAATAAGAAGAAAATTAAATAACTAGAAAAATTGAGTTAGAAATGCTTTAAAACATTTTTCCCCCTACGTGTGTGTGTATGGGGGTGATGCATTACGATGCTGTGCCGAATTATTGGAATTATCCGTGTAGTTAAAGCATTAACGATCGTTTAAGATAATAAATGGATGTCGAAGAAGAGACTTGGAAATTCGTAGGGAAAAAGTGAAGGTTAATGATTACTGCCAGTGTTTTTTAAAATTGTATAGCTTAAAAATATATATACACTTTATACCCGCGAGGATGTTAATATATGTGCAAATAATAGAGACGGAGCGAGATTAAGAGAGGGAAAACTAATTAAAGTATTTCTGGATAAGAACTAGAAAGAACGACAAGCTTCGTTAACTCTAACAGAACGACGTTTACGGCCCAACGACATCCATGACGAAAGCACTCCGTCCAATCCGACACTTGTCCCAAGAGTATCGCAAACCGTCGAGCAACACCGGTTACCATAACGACGGAGAAAACGAAACAGAAACGCTCACCGCCAATAGCAAGCCACACAACAGCTGAATAAATACTACCCGCTTGTATGTAAGATAAATAATAGAACGAAACTGATTATAACTAACAATGCCGATTCTATTTTTTTAAATCAATGCGGCGTAGGTAAACATTTTGAAAAAAATATCAATTGAGAACAGAGAAAATACAAGATGCATGAAATATAATATAATGAAATATTACTCCTGGAAATTCTGGATGTTCCAGATGATGGATTGATAACATTAACATTACTGAAAAGCTCTTTAAATTATATCCTAGTGGATAATAGTCGACACGCGAGGATTCCGACTCGAAATTTACAGGATCTTCGAATTCGGATACAATTAAATGGTGTCGCGATTAAATTATTCTCGTTTTTTTTTTATCATCTCACGATTATAATGCATGTGTATGTATGTATATCCATTACGCAACTACTTTTATAAAGTTAAACGCATGTAAGATACTTTTCGAATAAAATACTTGACATAAAATCGATAACTTTCGGGATAATGCCGTAGCGTATTGTATCTAAAGAGAAATGCAAATTCTTCGTTATTCTATTACTTATTTAGTTATTATACAGTTATAATCCGCCGATAATGGTTCTTTCGCGATTTAAAACGAAATAAAACAATTAATAGTGCTATCGTGTTCGTGTAATGTTACCGTCGGCCAGTACACAGATACTGCATGTATTAATGTGTTGGAATAATCGAATTATTAATCATCTGGTGATGAGTTATTTAAAAAGTTAATAATAATTAGTATTTTGATATTTATCAAGCAATTTTATACATCGATTGTAACGAATGAAAGTAATTTAGAATAAGCAGATTTCATCCGCCGCGATTGTTTGTAGGGTAGAGAGACAATAACAATGCATCTTGCCAACATTAGTAATCTTTGCTATCTGAGAACTATACATCTTCAGTTTCAACAGGGACGTTTTTGGATGAGAAAGCAAACGTACTGCCAAACAACACACTTAAACGACTGTACAACATGTTCAAAAAAATTTTATATAAATGATTAAACTAATTTGGACGTTTTAATCGAATATTTACATCGTTAACGTGTAATCACCTTGATGTACCGCTTTACATTCATAATTATGTACTTAAAAAAATACGAAAGTTCGGATTTAAAACTGAATTAAACTACGTCTTAACTTTAGAGTTTTTATCCAAATTCCACTTCTTAAAAGATTAAACGGTCGTAAATTATTTAATACTTTTATCCGGCCATTTAAAAATATATGTAAGTTACTGTATATATTTAGTTTAGGTGATAAATAGTGTACCTTGGCCTTGCAGCTCGAATCGAATTTTATGATGGATGTTGCCATTAGGGATTAACGTATTACTGTGCATAAGATATTGCTGAGGAGACTTATAATCCGACTAAGTAATATAAATATATTAAAAATGTAAAGATAAGTAAACATAATGGTAGAATCATCATTTTTACTCCTCATTTTTGTTTTGGCTACTGCTCTATAATTAAAAATTTAATATAAAAGATATCAATGTAATACTATAAGCAATAATATTCTCTCACTTTACTTCGTTCTCTACTTTGGCACTGACATCAGAGAATTCTGTATGTTACCAAATAACTGTAAAAAGTTTTTTCATTTAATTAACTTGAGATCATTTTAGAAAGCCCCCATTCAACTAATTGAAAAGAAGAAAAGTTGTAAAGAATTCACTGACATAACACAAGTTTGTGCTTTTATTTCTGTTGAATTTTAAGTTAAAAATGTTAAAATATATGGCTAACATGGCAATTAGTGTTTATAGAGAAAAAATGTTAATATAATTCTCAAACAATTAATTTAAATATTTAAAATGTATGCTTTGTAGGAGCTGTATATTATATATAGATTACTTCTTGTACACAACATATATATTTGTAGTTTACATGTACTGTAAGTCAAATATAAATATTAATATAATATACAATACTTATACAAATATATAATAAATACTAATAATCTAATTTGGTTATGATATAAGCTAACATGTTACAATTTAACATGTACAATTTAACGTACAATTTAACATGTTACAATTTAACAATCTTGAAATAAACATGTTACAATTATTTCAAGATAATCTAATTATCAGTCAAAAGATCACTTTTAATTAAAACAAGTTATTATTTTGTTCCTTATTTTAAGCAAATACACAATTTATATAGAAAATTATATTATGTATGATTAAGTATATTAAAATAAGCTTTTCTTTAATAAAAATAATGTAATATTTTTATATTTTCAAACCAATTAAGAATTAATATTCTTAAGCAAATTTAAAATTATTTTGATAATTAGTTTAAAATAAAAACAATTGTGTAAAAACAAAAATTTATAAATACAACTCAAGATTTTATATAACTTCTTCAATTCTCTTAAATTTTTAAATTATTGAACATTTTATTTGAAAAGGAAACTATTTTCTATTTTTATTTGTCAAATGCAAATATTAACAAAGAAGGTAAATATTACATCCAAAGAGATTTTTGAAATTACAAATTAAGTTTAAAATTTTTAAATATTTTTGTTCAAAAAAAAGTAAAACCGGCCACCTGGGAATACTTTGATGTAATCTTTACATTAAGCAATTTTGATGTAATCAATAAACAAATCCACAAATCAATCAAATATCTCTTATAACATGAAAGTTTTTTTAATTGTGGCTATTGAACAAAATATATAGTATTATGAAAAAATATTTCTTCACTAGTTTGACATAATTTTGACAGAAAATTTCATAAAGCCATTGAATGAAACAAGAGAAAATACTATATTATGATAAGTGGACAATCAGTGAATATTTTGATGAAATTTCAGCAAAAACCACATTAAAAAAAACAGCAAAAAATTCAAAAAATGTCTTAAAATCAAGCAAAAACAACAATTTTTAAATCTCCCAAAAATCTCTCAATTTCATTTCTAGGACAGATCTAGTAGAGAAATGAAATTTCAACAAAAAATATAAAAACAAAATCTTAAAATCAAGCAAAAACACTCAAAATATCAGTTTTTTTTAAATCTCCCAATTTCACTTTTCTGGACACTACCTCAGTGAGAGATAAATTTTCACCAAAAAATACTGAAATTTTAAACCTTTTACCCCCAAAATGACTTTGGGTCTAGCACCTTTGGTGTAATCACAAAAAACTAGAAAAATATTAATCTCCCACAACATTTTAACCACAAAACATTAATAACATTTCTAGGACAGATCTTGTGGGGAGATAAATTTTCACCAAAAACAAAACCACCAAAAAGTACAAAAACAGCAAAAAAGAAAACCATAAAAAACACCATCTCCCACAACATTTGTTTTACCCCAAAACATCAATAATATTTCTTGGACAGATAGTGTGGGATATAAATTTTCACTGGAAAAAGCTAAAATTTAAAATACTTTTACCCATTTTTGAGAATTTTTTCAACTTTTTTTAAATTGATTTTTTAATATCCCACAACATTTTTTACCACAAAACATTTCTGGACACTGCCTCAGTGGGAGATTAGAAAATCACGTAAAATCATCAATAATCATACACTTGACTTAATAAAATACAAACTCACCAAAGTGCTACATTTTCAAGCAAATACATATTCTATGCATTTTCTAATTAATCAGTGTTAAATATATTTATTAGCACATTGTTTGACTCACTTTTTATTGTTTTTTCATATTTGTATAATAAGCATACCACAGTAAAAACATTATGGGATTGATATGAAGAAAATAAAAAAAGCTCTTTTCCACAAAATGCTTTTATTGAACCAAGAAAGGGGAGAAGAAAGAAAAACATTGATAATTATTACTTTTGCAAGTTACAAATTTATCCAAGTTTTAATATTATAACACAGGATTGGCAGGCTTCAAATGCTCATCTATCACTTTTTTCACATCTGCTTCAGAATTCAGAATTTACTTGTATTACATTTTTCCAGTCACGACTATTTGGGAACACAAGCATATGTGCAGAGCCATCTTCTTCCACTGCAAGATCCACAAGAAGGTAATTTTGGATACCCTGTAGTCTCAATGCATCCAGGTCTCTGCCAGTGCCAGCTTTCATGCACCCTCCATCTTCTGATTGCTTTTTCTCAGGCAGCAGAGAAACAATGTCTTCTGCAACAGCAAGGGAGCTGTGACTCTTGCCCTTACCATATTTAATTTTCCATATGATGGCAAAATTGGCCTGTTTCATCGAAATGTCAATGTAAACATAACTTCTTTTCTGATCCTCAGCAGAATAACACCATTCTACTGGAAATACCATATAGCACGTCTCGTATCCAGCATACATCTTTCCCAAGCTCAACACGAAGGAGGCCACTGTGGGTTCGTTGGTGCATTGGAGTTCTTTGAAAATACGCCCCAAACTTTAACAGAAATGTGTTAGATCTGGTTGCATTTCATTATAATTACCTCTGTACGATGTGATTAATTTCTTAGATATGTCACGAAGGAATTCTCTACATTTAGCAAATGAAGTCAGTACATCCTCAGGTAACTCTTTTTCATAAGAAGAAAACATGTTCTTGTATAGAGCTCCAACTTTGATATTTGGGATCCTCATGTAAGCTATCATCATTTGATTTTCCTTATGAACTCCTTTGGTTGGATCTATTGCTAGAAAACCTTGATGCAATAAAAAGTTGAACATTTGTCTTGATGAGCCTGTTTTTCCTCCTTGTACACCACGAAGCTCCACGGCATCAATGTCCTTCTTGTAGATGATCCGTAAACTATGAGTATCATCAAACAGCAGAGTGTAGATACAACAATTGATGTCTTCGGATTTTCTCATTATGGCCACAAGGTGCCTTAGCAGACCTCCTTCCTTCGAAAAACAGAAGTTGGAGTTCTCCTTATTTTCAAGTCTCTGTTTAATTAATGTAGCTGAGGACAGAGAACAGGCTATATCTAGCATGTGGATTCTCAGAACTTATTGCCATTCCAAAATAGTCTAACTAATAGTAGCAATTGTAGTGCTCTTTGATATGGTGACTTATCTTGGCAATTTCTTCTTTCCCCTGACTTGAACAATTCATTCGCAAGGCTGTCAGTTTCATCGTTCGTCATCCCGTAATACCAGAAAAATCAAGTAGCGCTCAAAAAATAAATGTCTGTTATATTGTCCAGAGGTGAAAGGCCTGCTCCAACCACACTTTTGAGATGCCAGTGACCAAAGCTGCCTCCAGCTTCAAATCTGCATCTTCTGTTTTGATAACCAAAAAATATCACACTTGTGATAACTTTCCCTATGTCACATAAATTATCTTTTTCAACCTTCTGTTCCGGGGCATTTACAATAGGCTTGTTGATTTCATCTACCAGGAGCACTGGGTTTCTGCCCAAATATTTCTCCAGGCTCTTAATCAAGTTTTCCATATCTTCAGTCACATCATATTGATCCAGTTTCTTAAGGTCTTCATCACTGTAGCTACACCAACTTTGACAGGCATCTCTCAGTAACTTGATTATTATCAGTTTTAAGTTGTGTGCTGAATCCAAGATAGTCATGGTTTAAATAACCATTATATACTAACTTTGCACACTGCAATATTACTTTAGTTCTAATTCACATGAACAGTTCTTGAAGTTCAAGAAAACCACTGGATGCCTACCAAAGTGGTCCTCAACAAACTTTGTCTCTTCCTCTTTCATGATGTTGCACCACTTCGAGGAGTCATCTTGCGAATAGTGACAAAAAACTGCCATGGCATCTGATGCATCCAGTTCTTTTGTTGGTGCTTTGCTAATATCTCATTTGGGTGTTCCACTTACATCATCATGTTCAATATCAAGAAGCAGATGTGCCATAGTCTGGTTGATAATTTTCCCAAACTTTGTTGGTGCAAAGATCATCACATTCATAATTCCCATATTATCACACACCAACCATTCCTTCAGCAAGAAGGTTCTATCCACAAATCCAAGAGAATTGACAACATCTTTAAATTGCTGGGCATTTATATTTATGACTGGACCCTACAACAGAAAACAGTGTGACCAATTATCATACAAGTTATTGGAAAATGGAATTCAAAATAATATCTTGATGCGTAAACTGACCCTAGCAATGGGAGCTGATGATGGCGCTTGTTCACGTGCCTGAGTACACTTTTCCATTGTGGGTGGTTTCTACATGCAAAGAAAACAAAATAATATTAGCCGAGCCAACATAAGATAGAAAGCTACAACTAAACTTACTTCTGCCACTTCTCCACCACGATTTGATGTGTGAGCAGGACTAAACAACATCTGGTGAACTCACTAAGCTGCAAAGATCAATGTTAATGTTAGATTATGACCCAAGATCCTTTAATATATTTAATTGACTTACTGATATATTTTGATAATAGTTTATTATCTTTAAGGGTGAACACAAATTGATCTTGGATCATAGGTTTTTCAAAATTTCTAAGCCTCCTCAATCTGCTTTACTTTTTCTGGAAATGTTAGATTTTGTTGTCTTGAAGACTTTATTATTTTTAAATCTTATCAATACAGCCTTTTGAGTTCTCAGAAACTGAAAGCTTATTAAAACCCTTTTGGTTATTATTACTGATTTGTGGTTTCTTAGCATCCAAAGGGCTTATTTTGTCATGCCTTTGTTTATGATGCAAAGCATCCTAGACCCCTGTTAGGGTTTTACAATGCTCATTTAAAACACCATTTGGGTCTGCAATAGCATAGTACATATTTGTGCTGGATAGAGGATCGCTGCTTAATGAATATCTTCCATGTTTATCTCTTGGAATATTAACACCAAACACGCATTTTTCATAGTGAATGTTATGCTATTTAATGTAATTGTCGACTGTTCTTACACTGACTTTATATGTTTTGGCAAAATCCGTTTTACTTTTGTTTTCAAAATCCTATAGCCTTAAATACTTGAGAAGTTTTACTGAATCCATTTATATATTTTTAAAAAGTAAAAGGAAAGGAATCAAGAAAACAGAAAGGTAATTTGTAAAGGAACCAGAAAAGTAAAAGGAATGGAAATAAGAAAAGTAAACAGAAAGGTAACTAGCAATCAGTAAATAGAAAGGAAAGGAATACAATCAAAATATATTTATATATTAAATGACAAACCAAAAAATAATAACATTAAAAACATTTCATAACACTGTTAAAAGTGTTCAAGATTTATCTAAAATCAATTTTGATAATATTTTAGCATTTGGTTATAATAAGTTCACTACTAAAACAGCTAAACAATATATTGATTTTATGAATGAATTAATTGATAAAACAGACAGTTTAGATGCCTCAGATGAACAAAAACATCAATTTCGTTCATTGTTTGTTATTTTATTTTCTAAAATGTGTGAATCAGATTGTAAAGACATAATGTTGAGTAACTCAATACAAAAGAATAAGAAATATAAAGATATTATTAACAAATTAGAAGAGGCATATCAAAAAGAATGCGATGAACACACTGCTTTAGCAAAGAAATACAATGAGAACACAGCAAAGCTACTTGGACTTGAAAAAGTACAACCAAAAGAAGCAAAAGTTACTATTCCAGGAATATCATTATCCTTAACTTTAAAAAATAGTAAAATGCTTAAATCGCATGAATGTGTTGAATTAATGAACTTTATGTAGATGAAGAAGAATTAGATAAAAAATATAAGAGAATTTCTATTCCTGATGATTATAAAAACAAGGTAAGCAGAACTTATGTAAAAGAATTTAATGAAGGAAATCATTATTTACAAAAAACAAAGAAATAAAAAAACTTATGGTTCTTGAACAGTGAAACTGTTTAAAAAAAATTTAAGGTTCTGTGATTAGTACGTGGCCGTGCGCATATGTATCTGTTGAGTTAGGAATCAACCATCATTTATCATCTTTCCAGCTTAAAGATTTCTTATTTAATTCTTCAGTAAAAATATCATGTTTATGGCTTCTAATTACTGCTTGTTTATGGAAGAATTCTTTTTGATTGTATAAACAAGTCTTATAATCTTCAAAACTGATTTCTTTCTTTAACACAGCCTTCTTGATTCCTTTTAACTTTTTATTTACTGAATCTACAACCTGATAAAAATACATTTTAGATCTTAATCCAATGAATTCTAACATTTCTTCCCCATTCAATTCATTTTTAAATTTTCCAATTACTTTCTTATTTTTATTACTGTGAAGAGGATGGTGAGGAGGATAATCAGATGTGTCAAATAAATCTATATTATTCTTCATAAACTGATAAAACCCTGTTAGAGTTCTGGTGTCTTTGGGTTCTTGAGATGTAGTCTTGAACTCATATATGTAACTATTGGTATCTTGATATAGTAATTTAACATTTCCTTTTAATTCTTCCTTAATTATATTGTAATTGAAGTCGTACATCAATAGTTTTGATAAATCCAATACAGCTTGCCCAATATAAATCGGTTTATTGAATAACATTTTAGTTTTATAGTTATGAACAGCCACTGAATGTTCACTGAATATTGTTCTTGACTTGAAATTTAGTTTGTTTATTGCTTTCTGAACCTTATCTTCATCACTAAATAATTTTGTTTTGTTATTTTCTAACAGATTGCATAGATTTTCCAAATACTGAATTTGACATTAATTTCCAAAATTCCTTTTCAAAATTATTTTTTGCCTTTTGTCTTTGCTCAGGATTAAACTTAATATATGGTGTTATGAAATCTGATTGTATAAATTTTATATCTCTGTGGACTTTTGTTATTTTCAGCCCTAAGCTCTTACAGAGTTTTAATATTTTGTAATGCACTATATAATTCTTTTCATCATAGAAATGACAGAGTAACTTTTCAGTCTTTCCACTGGAAGGAACTCGATTTTCAGGAGCTAGTGGAAGATCATTAAATTTATTATGCAGATCTAAATCTTTCAGAAATTCTAAATCAACTTCAAACACATAACCAGTATGATTATCAGAAGTCAGGGTGTTATTGATACTCTCTAATTCATCAGAATCCATCCATTTAAAGCCTTTTTGTGGTAATTTTTGACTTAAAAGCCCATCCATAAAGAGTATTAGCATCTAGATCAGGGGTTCTCAACCTTTTTTTTACCCATGGACCCCTTTACCTCTTAATTTTCTTTTTGTGGACCTCCTCATACATTTTACAGAAGAAAAACCTTATATTTTTTTTGTTACATTGTTTCAAATTGGAAAAATATTTTAATACTGAAGCTCTGAATTTCAGAAAAAGTAACTACTGTATTTATGAACTGGCACTTTTAATATCTCTTACCTTGTCAAGATGAAATTTTGCACAGAAGTGAAGGTTAGGGTTAAAATAAACTGATTACCTTTATACTGATTACCTCCCTCCCTAATCTTCAAGATCTGAACAAACTCACGCTAAATGTTCAGAAATGTCACTGTCAAGTGACATGATGCTGATGGTATAAGATTCTCCTAATAGATCTCGGTTTTATAATCTCTCTGACCTTTGTCAATGAGATATATATGTTGTTTATGTATTCAATATTTTAAATAATTTATATTTTAACCCTTATGCAAGAAATGAGTAATAAATAAATTGACAATATACTGTATATACTGTAGAAATTTAATTTTCAGTAAAACAATTGTTCTGAAGTAGAATTATCCTATAGACCACTAAAATATCACCGTGAACCCCAATTCTGTATTTTTTTTCTGTGGACCTCAGTTGAGAACCCCTGATCTAGATATATCAGCTGGCAATTTTCATCCCCTCTGGCATATCTATTAAAACATTGAGATATCCCACCTCTTATTCCTTTCCCAAAATACATGTACATCTCATAATCTGTTAACAATTCTAACTTCACTTTAGTATATTTTAACATACAATCCCAAGCTAATGCTGGTATAGTGTAATACCAAACAGGATCTAAGCCATAGCTTTTACACAAACATAAATCTCTAAAATTCTCAAATACTTCAGATAGTAACAAAACACCCAATTTTAAATACAAATCATTCCATTCACCTAGATTTTTTAATTTAAAATGGTTCCAGAGTTTTCTAGCATGATCACTCAGGACAGCTTATATTTTCTTTTGTTAAGGATGAATAAAATTTTTCTATAAGAGATAATCTCGTTTCATTGAATCTTTCAAAGGAATCCATACATTCGTACGGATATATACCTTTTCTAATTATTTTAGAACCTTGTTTTCTGAATAATGTATTTAAATCAGAAGAAACAAGATACTTGTTTGTTTCTCTTAATTGTTCTGACTCTAGATTAGATGAAAGAGTATCTAGACTACTTGCTAAATATCTGAATGAATCTATAAATCGTAATTCTATATGTTCTTTAGAATCTATTCTCAAAATCTTACTGAATGAAATGTATTTCTCTTCATTATCTGGAATTAATTTTAAGTTTGATTTGTCCTCACCTAAATTCTTTACAAACATACGACAATTGTAAGAAGTCAGATTATGGAATAGTATAGGAACAAACACTGGTTGGTTGTACTTTAAATTACATAAATTACAACCAGTTCCTCTATTTTTCCCAGTATAATGATCATGGTCTCATACTTTGGATTTTCCTTAGTAAATCCATTTTTATAAAGATAACAAATCATTGCTTTCTCATGTTCTATTAATTCTACATTTGTTTTAGGTTTATTCTCTTTTAATAATTTATGAATTGTTTTTGCATTTCAATTATTCGATTTATAAAGTGTTTAGAAGCATTTTCACCTCTATAGATTTCTAATGGATTTTCAAAATTATTATAAACACTTTTAATATATAATCCATAACCACAAGGAATATGTAACTGTTTTTCTGAGTATACAAATTTTCTGGATTTGGTTGACATGTTTGAACTGGCTTTAGAATAGATTTGAAATCACAACAAATTACATATGGATGTCTCAGCCTTCTTTGTATGCTTTTAAATGATAAAGTACGTGGAACGGTTATAGTTTCATCAACTTGTTTTATTATTTGGGATAAAGGCATAATTGGAACACTAAGTTCATTAGTAAAGCATATTTCTTGATGTTTGTTTACAGATTCTTGAGTTCTAGCTGTATAGTTTAAACATCTACAGAAATACTTTTTTTTAATTAATCTCTAACTGATTGTTTAGTAACCAACTGAGGCATTTTATCCAACAAAAATGATTGTTAGTTTTACTTCCAAAGTATAGAGAGTCAATGTTTTTCCCATAAGTTTGTTTCTTATTGTGATATTGAGTTTGTTTTGAGATTCAAACTTAGAAATATCCTGAATTTTTACTGGAAATGTGATTCTATCAAATTTTAATTCATCTTTAAA